ACAGCGACGACAGACGCAGATGATGGCTATATGTACAGACACTTCTGTGTCTGTACATAATAAAACAATGGAATTAAAAATTGTACATATTTTGCATAATAAGCATGCATGAAATCAAATCTCAACTGGCTAGATAAAACAAAGCAACAAAGTTGTCAAATGTAAAGACATAAAGCACGAAATATGATGCACAAAGATGTTATTTTGTCATTAAAAAATAATAATGTCTATCAGCATGATCACCTCCACATTTTACTGAGGTTAACATGCACATTCAAAGTAAGTTCCATCCATCTATAGATACTGAGTATGTAGTTTTATCACAAAACAAATTCTTACATATAAGATGATCTTATTCTATACCAATTACTTACACTGTATATGTTATAATAAAAAAAGATAACATTCAAACCACAGTCCTTAAAAACTTCCTTAAAGAACTTTATCTACTTTGTACAAGTATATATACAGTATGTACAGCTAGTACACTGTACATGCACCTTACCCCATTCATAATGAGTATAATTCGTAAAATCAAAATTATTTAGAGTAATTGTTACATTAATTACTATTTTACTCACCATACTTACAGCTGTTTCTGTGGTAGTTCCTATACTGGTATTCAACAGTGTATCACTGAGGAGAATTTTATTTGAGCATAGTATTCAACTGTGTATTAAGATTAATAATAACAAATGTAGGTTGCAGTAGAATCATACAGAAATAAGACTGGGTTAAAACATATATTGTGACAATCCCCCTAAGGATTTCTCTAGTAACCACTCTATAATAAAAAATTTAATGATTTATCGTCTACTATCCGGTACAATACCAGGATATACTGTACACGTATGATTAGCAATAGTTAGTTTCTGTCATTAGCTTAAAGACACCCCAAAAATTCAAAATTAAGTGTACAAAATTACAAAAGCAGTGAAATTTTGAGACTAAATACTGCCATATTTGCTCAGAGCATCGTTTACCGACTCCATTGGATCCTCTCCTCTGCCATTTGTACAGTCAGTTTTATCGTTCGTTTGGGAAACTTTCTGGGGATTCCCCTGGACCTATTTTGCAATTCATACACTGCCAATCCCATGTAAAGCCTCGAGAGAACGTGTTTTGTTTCAGAATTACTTATATTCTTCTTCTACTTATTTATGCTGCAGAAATGAGAGTGGTTATCAGAACAGAATAAATTTGGTAGAATTTACGTTTCAGTACGAATTCATGTCACCAGCGGAAGTTGAACAGGAAGTAAACATTAAAAGTAACGCATGCGTGGTGTGTACCGCGAAAAGTGAACTTTTATGGTTTGTGCTTCGATGACTGAACAGATCTTTATTTGGAAGGGCAATTTTTAAAATTAAGAACGATGTGCTTGTCCAGTTTTGAATGATAAAAGACATATATAGTTATATGGGATAATATATTCAGTCCACACAATGGAGTTTGAAGAACTGGAGCTTGAACGTAAGTTTACTAAACACTGTAAAACCTGTCACTACTGTAGACTACTGGATAAATAAGTTATAACCCCAGTGTGTGAATCGAATATTAGGGGAATAACCCTTTGAATTTTGAAACTATCACAATTATATCAAATTATTATGTTTTAATGGTACCATTATTGCCAGTTTTTTTCAAAATATATTCAAGTATAGAAGCTGGACATGAACACTCATTAAAATTTTTGACAATGGGATATTTTCATGCTGGTGAAATACACCCCATTTCCATAGATTAGATCGACCTACTTTAGATCGACCTAACTCCCTGGGGGTTCATGCTAAATAGCTGTCAGCCGGGCGGACATGAAAACTAATTACCCCCTTACAGCTTGTAGTAGGCAGGACGAACATTTAAGTCGGATTATCTGAAAGTAATCTAGTGAGACTCCCCGCGGGGATAGATCGATCTAAAATCTATGGGAACAGAGCCATAGGCAGACTAGTGGAGGTAATGTGTTCGAAAAAACATGCTACATGAGAAAGATAAATTGTTGTGTACACTGTAACAGTTTTTTCTAAAGCTTATGTAGTAGAACTTGACCTCATCAGGGAGGAACAAGGTAGGATAACAAGACAAAAATGAAATTTCCCAAATATTGCCCACATATTAGTACCAGTTGATCTTAGCCATATATGTCAACACTGGTGTACCTAATTACCGTCCACAACCGAGCACAACTGACCACTACCATCCATTACTATCCGCAAGCCCTATTACTGTTAACAACATGTCAAGTCCGACATTAAGATGGTATGAAGTCTTATGATGTAACGCGTTGTGGTGCAATAGCTTTCGAGTAATGTGGCGGCCTCTTTGTATAACGCCGAGGTAAAGAAATTAACTATACAATTAGAGGTAATTAGGTTTGACGTACATCTCACACTAGTGCAGCACTGGATCCATGTAAAGATAACAAAATAGTATTTAAGTGATGAGAATTGAACGTAGGAGAGAGATAGACGGAAGACATGTAGAAGGAAGCAGCGAGGAAAGAGGTTGGAAGCGACGGTGTACGGAGCGAGACGTAGTTAGGAGTTGGAGGCTTCACTTAGAATATCATGTAGTTACCTAGCGTCAACGAATAAATCATTAAACTGGTCATTATGTGGACTTGGGTTTTCTTTGCGTGACCTTACGTAAATCTGACACGAACAGTGGAATCTTCGGATGGCGTTATCCCCTAAGTTAGTCTAAAACGTAATGTCCTATTTCGAGCCCACACTTGAATTAAGCGTTCAAATTTATATAAGTTTAGGACATTTGTCATACGTATATGTAAAAGGTTCATTACAAACAGTCCATAAGCACTAAATACAAGCACAAGCGTCCTCCCATATGAAATAGTTTAACGGAGTTCAGTTATCGAAGCAATAGCATGCAATGTAAAAACTGGGGAAAATTTGACATTTGTGGGCATATTTTATGATTGTTCGGTAAATGAACTATTGCCATCACCTACTGTGATCTGCAGTCCCTACCATGAGTGTGGATTAAAAAAAATCTGCCTTAAACTGTATCATATTTTAATATAACTGAATTGTCATTTACAAGTAGCAATATATGCTTGTTGTTTGTTTAAGGATTGGAGAAGGAGAAGAAGAAGGCTCAGAGAAAGAACAACCTGAAGGAGGTAGCACAGCTGTGTAATGTGATTGGAGAACTCAAAGCTAAATTTGGTAAGCATGGATCTTCATGCATTTGATGTTGCATAAACTACAGGAAGAAGAAACCTTGGCCAAACTGGAAATCTGAGGCTCAGGATAGGAAACAATGGAAAAAGCATGCTGAGGCCTTTGTCCAACAGTGGAACACTATAGGCTCTAAATGATGATGATGATGATGATGAAACTACTGAAGCACATCTAAGTTTTACATTTTTAAACTTTCAGAGTTAGGTATTTAATTAACAATTAAACAGAATCATAATCAATCTCCTTAGTGATAAGTCCCTAAAATCAGAATCTCCTTAGTGTAGACAAAATGTAGTTTTACTTCCACATGGCTGCAGTCACTTAAAATACGCATTTCATTTGTAAACGGGTTAATATCATAATGATTTCAGGTCGATTTGAAGATGCCATTGAAGACCACCAGATGGAGTTACATCTGAGTGAGGCACTGGATGATAGCATGGGAACAGCCATAGCTAATAGGAAGATAGGTCAGACATTTCACCATCATGGATGTTTAATGTCAGAGAATTTTGATTTACTAGATAGCCTAATGGTCTATCTCAGACACCTTGCCATAATAAAGTTATTTCACTTCATAGATTTAAGTACGTAGACTTATCCAAATGAAGGAATAGGGACCGCCATAGGTAATGGATGACACATTTAGTTCAGAAATTTTGTTACACATTTAAGGGATGTGTTTCGTGTCAGAAAATTTTTACTTGTTAGCCTGATGAACTAATTGAGACAAATCACTTGAAGATATTTCACTTCATGATATCAAACTAACTTCTTAATCTGAAATTGTAAGTCTGATATGTAACTCACTTGGGAGTATGTCATGCCATTCTAACAAAAGAACTTATTCTAATCCATGATCATCTCGCAAAATATTGATTAAACTTTTATCTTCACCCATTTCAAAGATCTTAACTAAGCCATGAATATTTTTGGTCAACTTAAAAGCCTAGAGTGAACTGCTGTATTACAACATGGATCTAATGCACCATTTTATCTAATATAATACATTCAGTATATTATAGTATATTGGTATACTTATTATATTGGACAATATATTCATATCAAAACACATTCTCTACATAGGAGAATGTTACTGTGAGCTTGGAAAGTTTGACCTGGCATTGAAGCACCAGCATCGCCATTTAGAGTTAGCAGAGAGCGAACACAGCGACATAGAACAACAGCGGGCATGGGCTACCATAGGGCGCACCTATCTTTATCAGGCTGAGGCAATCAAGACACCAGGGGGAGCTGAGGCAGTGCTGCGCAAGGGGGAGGATGCTTTCATGAAAAGCTTAGAAGTTTGTGAGAGGCTGAAGAGGTCAATCAAGAATGAAGAGTATATGGAGATGAAGGCTAGGCTATTCTTAAACTTAGGTAAGTCTTTCAGGACCAAAGAGTGTATTAAAATTGAAAGTTTTCAGTCTTTGGTTTGTGGGAAATTCTGATCCTCTGGAATCAACAAACTGGATGCAACATTATGGTGTTTTATGAGCATTGTTTTGAAGTATATTGATATCAGCAATGCATTTGTTCAGTATTTTGTACTTGATCTAAACACTGGTATGTTTGGTGTTGTAGTGTAATTATGAAGATTAATTTTAATTATCCTTCACAGATACAGATAAGATTTGCCAGTGAATCTTTAACCATGTTTACATTAGGACTATCTTCATCAAAAGTATCTCATAATTAAGTGGACCACTTTTTACACTTATTTATTTGTATTTTCCTTCCTTAAATAATGTGTTTCTTCTATTTGCCAGGTTTGGTTTATGACAACAAGAGGGATGAAAAGCAGTGCACTGAATACATGAAACGTGCTATCATGATTGCAGAGTAAGTGTTACGGAGTAAACAGTCTGGCAAAAAAGGGGCGGATGCAGAGCTATTTTCTGACAGTCTTCCAAATTATCTTTATTGATTTATCCTCCAATTTTGACCGTCTTCCAACAGAAAAAATTAGATACCTGATTTTAATTTTTCCCCAAAAATATGCATAATTAGCCTAATTTTCATAATTAACCTAATTTGCATATGATAATGAGCTTTTAAAATTGTTTATTTTAATATTTTTCATCATACCCAGACATTTGGTAACCATTTTGAGGTGTCTCAGCTAGGTCCAAAAATCCCAATTTTTAGGTGTAGTGTCTCACCTTAATGTAAACTTGAAAATCTGACCGTCTTCTGGAAGACCCAGAAGACGGCCTAAATCCGCCCCTGCAAAATATATTAAAAAAGTAAGTGGTGGTTTATATAAGCAAATGTGAATCTGCCACTTGATAGATTCTGCTGCCACCTGGTGTCCACACATGGTTATCTATACAAAAAACGTATTGAAAACAGTTATAATTGTCAAGAGACCAGTTATAACTACCTGAAACTTGATCCAGTGAAAGCCAATCAAATATTTATGCATTCAGTACATATGATCTATATAAAGAATCATTTGGTTCCATAGTGCTTTGAAAAAGGACACCCACTCCTCTCCCCCCCTCCCCCAGAGAGAGAGAGAAAGAGAGAGACTTTTTAAGATAATGCATTGCATTACCACACCAAGAACAAAATAATGAAGGATCTCTTGAGAGAAATCTTAAATGTGAAAAGATATTGAATGCTGTATTGAACACCTATCATACATTCAAGGAAGCACAATCTGGCAGAGGATCTGTACAGGTGTCAGTTCTGCCTGTCTGGAATCTACCAGAGGAATGGGAAACCAAGCCAAGCTCTCAGGTTCCTGGAGGAAGCTCTCAAATGTGCACGGAAGATGAAAGACAAGGTGCTGGAGAGTGAGGTGCTGGTCAGTAAGGCACAGGTAAGTGTTCAGACAATGTACTGGAGAGGTGAAGTGTTGGTCGGTAAGGGACAGGTAAGGGTTCAGACAAAGTACCATAAAGTGAGTTGCTGGTCAGCAAAGCCTAGGACCCAATTTTCCAGGTTAAAATTGTTTCTTGTAACAGAAAGTATGTAAATCTTGTGTTGAGTCGTGGCATGGGCATCAGGGATCACAAACATAAGAAGCACGGATTGACCCTTGTCATTGTACCACCAGCGTTAGCGCTGGCGGTACACATGGTTTCGGTCCCGTCCGGATCGTTCCGCCGGCTCCGCCGGACGGCTACCGTTACCGCTTCTCCTCCTAGACGGTAAGGGCCCCCGTACCCATCTCATGGATTTAGGTCACC